ATGATGAATGGACCTTGAATCTTCAAGGTTGCCTCCAATAGTATCGAGAGTCTTTGAATTATCATCCTTTTTGGGTAATGGAACGTGCCACAGACGTCGGACTACTGAAGGCCGTGTACTGTAAGAGCGCTTGGAGAGAGCCGTTGCTGCTGCTGACCCTAGAAACTGGTTCCAGCTCGATCCTTCCCCGGTGAAACTGCGGCTGCTTTCTGTGCCATCTCGAATGCTACGCAGGTTGCGTTTCACATATTCCAAGAAAAAGGCCTGTAGAAGAAGATATGGAGTTTACTTTTACGCAGCTTACTTGATGAAACAATGAAAGAAGAAGTCATATTAAGTAGCAGAAGACTTAATTAATGTTATATTCTAAAATGTTCACATGTTCAAAAGACTGTCACTGAATAAGACTGAACCCTACCATGACCCTGATGAATTCAGTCCATACTCTCAAACCATTATTATAACATTCACTTTAATAATACCTTCCTATCTATGTCTAGGTCTACAAAGTAGTCTATTCCCTTAATGTTTGCTGAGTAGAGTATTATATGCATTTAACATCTCCAACATGCATGCCTGTCAATCACATCCACCTTGATTTAATTAATCTAATAATATTACTGGGAACGACCCGTTCTTCAAGTGCCTGAGCACCGTGGGTCCCAACTTTTCGTTGGCTCGATCTATAGACATTCGGTAGGACTCCTCGGACGAGGGATCGGCCCGTCGCAAGGCCTCTACCTGTACACAGGAAAAGCACAACACAGAAAAACGCGGACAAACATCCATGGCTTGAGTGGGATTCGAACCCACGGTCCCAGCGACCAAGCGGCACAAGGCCCACGCCTCAGACTGCGCGGCCACTGCGGAAATAATATTACAGTGAACAATATGAATCATGAAGTTCCTCCTTACGTAATTTTCTTCATATTCTTGTTACTCATCTTTCTAAGGTTCACATATTCTCATCAGCACTTTGTTCTCAAAAACTGAAAAGTCATGTTCATTCACACATACCATTTCAGCTCCTATTTCTCGCTTGATAAGCTGCTTCTCCCACTGACACAATCGATGATCCATGAGATGCATAATGCCTTGTGATGCTATCAGCGACAGACTGAGCTCGAGTCCCGTCGTTATGCGATACATGTCCATGGTCGACATCCATAATGCACTCAAGCCTGATGCTACGGCCACACTACCCGTCAATGGGCATGTTACATATCTGCCTACACCTGGAGAAGGGGTACGACTCGTCTGCAAAATCAGACACAAGACAAAACTTCTGAATTTAAATTATGCAATCCACTGCATAAGGAATATTTAATACAAGGCAAACAACCTTGCCTGTAAAAAGGAAGATGTTTCGAAACCTCGATCAAAGCCTCCGACAGACGGACCTAACAGAGGACCGAATGGAAGAGGAGAATTGAGGAGGCCATGGACCGAATACGGACCAGAGAGCCATAGAAGAAGAAGAAGAAGGATACATGACAAAGATAATTCTACTATCTGAAATAATATGTAAGATGGATACTGTCAACACACACTTACTTTGCCAAGAGCTGAAGTGCAGATATTGGCAAATGCAATCAGCGAGCCAAATGTTAAAGAGGGTAGTACTTCCTGCGACAGAGTCGGGGAAGGCCTGCTGAAGCTCAGCGCTGGTTCCGTAAAAGTAATCTTCACGAGAGGTTCCCACTCCACCTCACACTCTCTGAAGTCCGTGAGCAGACTTACGACGCTGGGAGTGTATGGCATCAAGGTAGCCATGCAGAGGCATACTATATCCAACAACCTGTGTATCAAAAACAAGTAAAAGTTTCAAAGAGAGATGGAGCTGTCTTGTGAGGTTCTGAGGAGAGTGGTGGTGGGGGTTGTGACATAGTGTAGGCATACCTCAAAATGTTGGTATCTACCTATAAGTCTGCACAACATAATAAAATATAAAATGTGGGTGATACAACGTATTTTCTGTATCATAGATTACTATTGATACTTGCCTGTTCTGAATATTGATCAGATGTGGTGAAATATCTGGATCTTCCATCACCATAGCTTTGAGATGTTGCGTCGAAGCTATCGGTGGTTTCTCAACCATGATCTTCAATAATCTTGGATGAATCAAATATGATACACAGCTACTGAGACACACCATTACAGCTTTCTGAAATTGATATAGACTAGGTAGTGCATCTAGGATTTAATTTGGTGATGAGAATGTATTTAAAAACAATTAACAAGTATAAGTTCTGTGAAGGAATAATGATAGTTACTTTTAATTGAATGATTCAATAAATATACACATTTGTTGTTATTCGTGACTAATTTCCACTACTAAAGATTCTGACTATATTAAACTTGTCAGACATTAACTTTAAATTTTCACTTTGGCTCGGCTTTGATTCAGTTACTTGACGATATAATAATGCGATGAAGACTTCAGGATGTTAATATTCATATTATAATGCCAACATAATTTTTGTAATTACAGGGATATATTTCAGTAACGTATAAGCATAAGAATCTCCACAATTCACGCAAGTTTAGACGACTTACCACTACGGCAAACATGGACTTCTCATGAGCAAGTCTCCACATGTCCTTGAATTGTGAGAGTTCTCGAATCAGCGTGAGGGCCGTCACGGCCAGATCCAAAGACCACTTGTCCAGCGAGTGACGAACGTCCATAACGCAAGCAGTGACGTGTTCCTCATGAATTCCTATGAATGTTATCATCTCATCCAGAAACAAATGTTTCTTTGACTGTAGCAGAATGGTAAGCATTTCCAGTGCAGGCTTGTACACCTGAGGCCAGTTCAGTTCTGGCCAGTATTTTGATCTCTGAAAATACAAATGTGTCACTAAGCCAATTGCTTTTTCCAGTATAACAAAAAGTATGCTCTCTACACTCAACCAGTAAACTGAATATTTATTTATTTATTAAGTGTTCTGTCTGACGACAGGTCCATATGAACAGGATCCTTCCATCCTTTTCTCGGACTGGGACCTGTTCATATACGTTCTTGGCAGATGATCCAGAAGTGGTTTGCCATTGCCTTCTTCTGTGTGTGAATGGAGTAATTGTTGGGATGCCACGGAGGAAAACTCCGTGTTGCCTAGACCACGGCCTTGCCCAACACAAGTTATAAATTCGGGCACCGCCGGGAATCGAACCCGAGACCCCAGGATTACAAGGCCAGCGTTCTAACCGCTAGACCACCGTGGCATCCTAAACTGGATATACATACTTTATTATTATATAATTTAATACTCTGGCTTACCACTATATCTGTTCTGGAGGAAATGGCGCTGTCAACTTTTAGGTCATGTTAGTTTTAAGTTAAGTTTTTGGCTTTGATCAAACTAGGTGACGTTCATTAGGCTGACAGTCCATCTACTCAACAAGATTAAATTGTATACATATTTGAGACACATAACATTCGCATGGGTCCTTGGAATTCATTTCACTTCACCTGAAGATGACCTAATAAGGCCGAAACGTAGTAGTATTTTAATAAATATTGAGACTATATTCATAAAACATATTGTGCAGATGGACTGTCAACTTAATGATTAAAATGCAACAGGATGCATTCCTTAAAGAATCTACGTGACATTAATTCATCTACAGTATTATTTAATCGATGAATTCGGTAACTCCCTGGAAACAGGACACAAAGGTTCAAAACATCTAACAAAAACATCTGCCAGTTCAATCCCATTTTCTCTAAAACTATAAAAAAATACAAATGAGAAATCAGCATTCTTCATGCAACAAGAATTATACTCACTGTGGTTGAATTAACTTGCTCAGTACTTTCCCCTGGCACTGCGGGCGGCAGAAGTTGCATCCACAAGTGCTGCATTACACCTGAGTGAATCATGATCTCAGCAAACTCAGTCTGAGAGAGCACGAGAAGTACATTCATCAAGGTCACAGCAAAATTAAACTCCTTGGGCATCTGTAAGAGAAAAGTTCACATTAAAATGTTCATTCATAATATATTTCATAGTAATAAACTGTGTTTCTCAGCATAAACATTTAGCAGCATCACGTATCACTGAAAAGTTATTTGCGTGTGCGTGAATGCAAGCACAAATTATGTTCATATTATTCTTCTTCCTTCATTAATATATTCATTTGTAATATCCATTATAGTTAACAGAAAATGTTAAAGATTTATGATTTAGTTATTATTATTATTAAGTGTTCTGTCTGACGACAGGTCCATTGCTCTGCCCAAACAGAGCTCTCCAGTTGTCCCTATTCTCGGCTTCTCGCTTTAATTCCTGGAACGTCATCTTCTTTCCTTGTTTAAGGTCGTCGGTTAGCTGTATCAATCTTCTTCCTAGTCCTCTCTTTCCTTCAACCTGGCCTTCGGTGACATCACTCAGTAACCCATTCCTTCTCATAATATGTCCCAGCCAGTTAGCTTTCCTTCGTGTAATCGCCTGCAGAATGCTTCTTTGCTCGTTGACTCTCCTCAATACTTCTTCGTTGGTCACTCGATCCGTCCACCTGATCTTCTCTATTCTTCTCCAACACCACATTTCAAAACTATCCAGGTATTTCTGTTCCTTCTTCCTGAGTGTCCAAGTCTCTGCTCCATACGTAACACTTCACTAGTTTCTTCGTCGTCTCCAAGCCCAACTTGCTAGTGAGAAGTATCCTCTTCTTGACGAAAGATGGGATTATGATTTAGTAACAAATAATAAATGCTAAGACAAACAATGAATTAAAAATAAAAGTGGCTATTCTTAAGAAGCATACTTTGAAACAAATATGGCGCCATAACGAAAGTAACTCAGTTACAGTATAGGATATTTGCTGGTTAAACCAATATTGAAAACAACAGAGTCAGCTTCAAATTGGTATAAGTAAGCCCGTTTGATGCCCCCCCCTCCCCAATCAGCTATCTCTTTTTCAAGTCACCCCCGTGGACAACGAGTTTGACATGCCTACTCTACACATCATGGTGATGATTGGTGGGACAGAAGGTGTAGCTCATACTCATGTTTGACTTTGACACTAGATGGGGTGAGTGGTCAGCATCACCTGGCTGCAGTTTATCCCCTGGGGAAAGAACTGATTACGAGGCTGGGTAGACACCACAACCAGTCTGGATATAGAGGCTAGAGGAAAACCCTCGCCCTGTCGGTAAATGAACGGTTGTCCAGTCTACAGTCAGAAGCTGTACTGACTAAGCTATGCTGCAATTCCTGGTATACGTATCTCCTTAGAACGTGAAATTGGCGAGACATTACAGTCAGGTACATGCGATAGTTTAGTAAACTGAGATTAACCTATCCTCACTGCCAAAATAAGGCACGAGAATCTATAATCACCTGCAGGATGTGTCCTGCAGCTGCAAGGACCTTGTTGACGACTTTACATTTTCGAAAGTTATCTTGCCACCCCTTACACCAGGCCAGCATGTTAAGTAACTTCTGCATCAGACACAGACTCAGAACGGATGTCATGTGGCCACGAGGGACCTTCTCTTCACCCTTCTCATCTTTCATTTCTTCATGTTTTTGTTTCTGCTTCTTTAACTCTTCATGGTGTATTCTATCATCGAGGCTGGGAATACACGGTAAATTGTATATTTCGATTCCCACAATCTGACAGCTTGCTTGCATTAGACAGTCTGCAATGATACTATCTGAAACATAAAGCATAATTACTCTATAATAAACTTTAAGAGAAAGGAGTGTATGAAAGTCTTAACTACAGACTCCCTCCTCCAGTCAACATCTTCACCTTCACTACCATTAGGACCAAAAAGGACATTTAAAATATGGAATTCTATCTATAATTCTGCCTCATGAGCAGAGACCAAGACAGCCAAAAGCCATGTCTGGAGGCGTAAACCACATCAGTGATGCGATGTTCGAGGATTGTTCAAACCACTACAAAGATTTGTATCTCGGTTAATTTAATACTTTTTCAAAACATGCAGCATTCAATGGGATCATAAATATAAATGATTAATTGAGAAAGATATGGAAGGGTGCGGTGTGGCCTATTTTAAGGTTGTATCACATTTTCCTGGAGAGACTGAGGAAATCTCTGTTACGATAATTACAAGACCAAACCCAGGAACTCCTGAATATAAGCAAGAGTACTAACCACAGATGATAACCCACTACAAAGAACTGTACAGAAAAAACAGTCAGTGAATGAAAAATAATCTCTAACTTCAATTACTTCAAAAGCATAAACACAGTAACTAATTTTAACTCACGCTAGTCACTATAACAACCGTTGTTGTCCAGCCTTACAACAGCTTGTTCGTTGAAAAAGCAACGTGGGTAGCATATCTCCTAAAGCTTGATAAGTCATAACCTCTAAAACATTACAGCAATGTCTGACATACCTTCCTGGATTTCAGGACAAAGCCGGTGCACCAGGCGTAATGCCAGCGCAAGGATGGCTTCTTTGGCACGAATATGAAAAGCGTCGTAGGAAAGCGACAGATGGTAAAGGATTTTATGCAGCTGAACGAGTGTGTTCTTTTCATATTTTATTGAGTGCCTGCAACACAGATTGTCACATTGTAGTTATCGGTGTATTTATTATTTAGTGTTCTGTCTGAGGACAGGTCCATATGAACAGGATCCTTCCATCCTTTTCTCGGACTGGGACCTGTTCATATATGTTCTTGGCAGATGATCCAGAAGTGGTTTGCCATTGCCTTCTTCTGTGTGTGAATGGAGTAATTGTTGGGATGCCACGGAGGGAAACTCCGTGTTGCCTAGACCACGGCCTTGCCCAACACAAGTTATAAATTCAGGCACCGCCGGCAATCGAACCCGAGACCCCAGGATTACAGTTTAATTAAGCATGCACCACATTAAAAAGCTGGAGACATTAATAAGATTCACATATTACATCACATCCCAACTTTTTATATGAAGAGTATTCCTTGAAGAAATGATAAAAGAGGAAAATCTGTCCAACTACTGTAAGTGCATAACTCCACAATACTAAATTCCATCAGAATTCATTTTCTAGTTCTGAGGTTGAAATATGTTGATACACAAATAACACCAGACAACAGATTTTAAAGAGCTGTATATATCGGAAATGAAACTAATCGACTCTTTTGTATTTTTGTCCACTAAATTCGAAAATGACAATAAAACAGCTTAGTTAGTTCATGTTTTGAAGATATTTTGTACTTTGTAAAAATACCATGATGAAGGCCTAGTATGATAGCCACCGATTAGTAAAAATTGGTTAGTTTCATCTCCGATATATTTTGGCTGTTGAACAGCGTAACCTCCGCATTACAATGTAACTGCATGCATTTCACGTACATCACACAACAATTTCTCAGTTTTAAAAAATTAGTTTTACAAAAAATAAACACTAGTTACATTCAAGTCTTTGTACTGCAAATTTATCTGCGTGAATAGGTAAAAACATGTGTACCTGCCCCACTTAGTAGTGAGTATCAAACACAGCTCAGCTAGGAGAACAATTGGTTTCATGTTTCCCATGTCCTCCATTTCCTGAATCAGCGCTTCACGCGCATCATTAGCCAAGAAGTACTTATGTCTTGAAGCGAACTCAAATGGCAAGTGTTTCATTGCGACTGTCAGGAAATTTTTCCAGGCATTCAACAGTGATATCACCTGTGAATATTTTTCTTCGCTAGCTGCCTCAATTAGCTGTCCCTTCTGAGACAATGACTCTGCAATAAACTTTGGACAGAAAAGAAACTCAATTAAGCAGGGTTACTACTACACTCTTTTCATAATTCTGATTTTAAAAAAAGTCCATAAGAACAGGTCCTAAAATTTTGGGACAGAAAATCCACATTTCACTTTATGAATTGTGTACAAATAATATACAAACCTTTATCCTTTCTCCCATAAAAATATGTAAATACACAATATTAAACAGTTATGGTAGCAAATACAATAAGGGACTCACCTTAGACCATTCTTGAAGGTAGTTGCCCTCATTAAAGAATCTTCTCAAATTTACTTCTAATTTTGGATCAACTTTTTCATCATACCAAAACAATTCCAAGCTGATAATATCAAAAACCTGGGAAAAACCTTGAACATTACAGCTGAAAAGAAAACATATTAAATTAAATATATTTATTTTGTACAGTCTATACACAAACGTTTGAAGTTTATTGGTGTTGTAAAAATTATATAATATTAAAACATTTTGTTGTATAAAATATTATATTAGCGCTCTTAATCGTAAATACGATTTTACAATATATTTTTTAGCGCTTTTATTAAAACGACATGTTTCGACGGGTAATACCGTCGTCTTCAGGTTTTTATCAATTTAAACTTCAAACGTTTGTATATAGACTGTACAAAATAAATATATTTAATCAAACACAAACATGACGCATATAAGGTACAAAAAAAATAAAAAAAATAAATTAAACTGAATTTAATTCCAAAAGCTAAGTTTTGTTCATTTGCTGATTCAAAAAATTGTTCCACCAGAGTAAACAATTCTGTCATATCCTAACCCCGCATTTGTATTACTTTCAACGCAAATTCCAGCACGTCTCGACTCCCAATCGCAGTACGATGATCACGTAAAGCATTTGTTTCCTTACGCCGCCTTTTTACATGAATAATACTTATATGCTGATGTTTCAGAGCAGACATTTTTTACAGTAAAGTTGAAGTAAATTTTGGAATGCACACAGCACAAATGCAAATAACTGCGAAACACTAAATTAACGCAAAGCCGCTCAATAAAACATCCCATTACGAATTAGTTCAACAACAATTTATGGGAAACAGAGGTAATATGTGTTTATTAAGTTTTGAAGAACGGTCACGTACTGTACCTTTATGCGTAAATTCAACTGGACATACTGCAGCAGGCATGTACCTTACTTCAGATTTCTGACGCCAACTATCATTCTGCCGATGTTTCACGTGCGTCTTTCAGTTTACAAGCAGATCAATGAGCATCTTCGGTCCTAAATTGGGGCTTCGACTATGGCCCGGCACTTGGCTAGACCCAAGTGTAAGGAAGTTAATATTAATAACTCACCTTGGACTTTGGAAGAGTGGTGCGCAGAAACCATTCCAAAAGTCACTTCTGCTTCGTAAGAAGTTGAGCACAAATTCCTTTTGACCAATCCAGAGAGCATGGATTAGGTTCATCACAGCCTGATACAATGGACCAGTAACCAAATCAGGATCCTGCAAAATAATTGCATAATATTCGACAGTGTTAAACGACACGGACATAACTTTTATTAATCCGTTGTTACGTGTTCATTATCATTTTGTCTTGGACAATGATGACCTCAGCCTGAATCTAAGACGAATGCAGGAACCGACACTTTCGGTGAATGGAAGCACCAAGCAGGTGGTATTTTCATCTTCCTTTCGATGGTAGGATAACACAGAATATGACAATGGTGGCAGTCAGAGTAGACATACAGTTTAATGTGGAACCCAAATCAGACTCTTCGTTACAAAAGAGGAAAGGTGAATGTACACAGGAAAGTGTGAAGTGAATCTGACCTTGTGAACAGACGGCAAGCAAAATACCCCTAGATCACAAGGCCGCCCCTTCATTAAATTCTTTTAACATTTTATTACCACAAGTTCTTACGTTACATTCGTCATTCATTCGTATGAATAATGCCAGCTCACACACATATTACAGCCATCTAAATAATTTGCCAACATGAAAGATATCAGATCATGCGCATATGAAGGAGAGTTTCTTGGTTAATTTAAAAGTTTGTTGCAGCCGACACAGCAGAATAAAGTAATATTAAATATCCCCTTCTCAGCTCAATATACTAAAATGTAGAGTATAAAGGAAATTTAAATTAAAAGATGTGTGTTAGGAGAGAGAATTTAATTACACATCAAACTACTGGCATTGCTTTGTCAACTGCAGAGATCATAAGCCTCAATTAAAAACTGCAATATCATTGCAGTGGCCGCGCGGTCTAAGGCGTGGACCTTGTGCCGCTTGGTCGCTGGGACTGTGGGTTCGAATCCCACTCAAGCCATGGATGTCTGTCCGCATTTTTCTGCGTTATGCTGTCCTGTGTACAGGTAGAGGCCTTGCGACGGGCCGATCCCTCATCCAAGGAGTCCTACTGAATGTCTATAGATCAAGCGAACGAAAAGTTGGGACCCGCAGTGCTCAGGCACTTGAAGAACGGGTCGTTCCCAGTATTCCAGTATATCATTATGAACAACGCGTTTGAAGGAATATATGAAACAGCAGCCAAAAACTTATTTTAGCTATTAATCCAGATTTTGCTTGACACAATTTAGGAAAACCAATGAAGACCCGGACTAAAGTTCTTTTTCTGGCTTCTGTCAATTGTACCAGGCAAGTTTTATGATAGTCTTCTTCTTTACAATATGGTAACTGGGGATTAAAAAGAAAACACACAGAATATGCAATGAGCTGGATTAGATCTGGACCAGGCATCTACTGAACATGAAGCAGGAGTGATCACCACTATAATAAAGTGTTATTACAAACTGGACAGTTTCAAATTGGGCTACGGGCAAAATTTATTTATTTATGTAATGAATTCTTCTTGAGCTAGCAGCCGTGTTAGGTGGTTTAATGGGCAAAATTTATTTATTTATATAATGAATTCTTCTCGAGCTAGCAGCCGTGTTAGGTGGTTTAATGAAGACGGCTGATAGTCCGAGAAGAATTCATTATACTTAGTCACCACGAAAGCTTCAGATCGTACATTATTTATTTATGGTATATTTGGAGACACATGAATGTAAGTAATAAATTGGAAAATAAGTGGAAAGAAGTTGTCATGGCCTAATTGAATATACTATCCTGCTACTTGCCTGGACGGAATGAGGAAAACCACGATAAACCTCGGTATGGATAGCCAGTCTCTGAGCCAAGATTTGAAACTGGGACCCTCCCAGATATGAAGTAGGAGTGCTAACAATTTGGCCACAATGTTTAGTGCTAGAGGCAAATATTAGGCAAATATAAGAATACACAAAATAATTTTCATTACCTCTTCAATGCTGCTGAGGACAGAGCAAGCGAAAATAAGACAACCGCCTTGCGTATCGTCCTTCTTCTGTTTCTTCTGGAACATACGTTTTGACTCAGCAGGATGGTGCACATTCAGAAACGTGTCTGCAAGTGCAGGCTGATGCTCTATACAAGACGTCACCAACTCCAGGAGGGCAACCTTGAGGGCAGGACCTTCAAGTTCTGAGTTGAGACGAGCGATGAACGTGTGGCGCACAACATCTGGCTTCATTCCCATGCAGGACATAAGAGCCTTAGGCATATCCTGCAAACATGTCACGTAAGACATAACAAGGAGTACTAAGCTGGACTAATAAAACACAATTTGAAAGTATAAACCCTGAGAAAAAAAATTCATGACACAAATAAGCCAGGAGTAAATAATTATTACAGGATAGGTGAGGCTGAAGAATGCCTTGTGAAATGATTCATCCTGTGAAAATGGCAGTGGATGATGATGGTGATCATAATGGTAATAATGTACGAGGCGCGTCCACAAAGTAAGTTTCCCACTCGTCCCACAGCTAGCAAACCTTATATTGCGCGAAGCGACTGTGCGTACGTGATAGAGCAATGACGTAGCATGGCACATGCACTAACGGCACTTCCCGCGTTCTCACAGTAGCATCGTTGCAGCTGTTGAAGATGGAGATTCTTATTCCAGCTCCCGCCGACTGTGAAGTGCGGTCAGTGATAACGCTAGGCCGCACACGGCTCAACGGACAGCGAGTCTCCTGCAGGAGTTCAGCTGGGAGGTGTTTAATCATTCACCCTACAGCCCGGACCTCGCTCCCAGTGATTTCCATCTTTTCCTACACCTCAAGAAATTCCTGTCCGGTCAGCGTCAGCGTCAGCGTTTTGAGAATGAAAGAGAGGCGGAGATGGTTGTCACACAGTGGTTCCAATCCCAGGCGGCAGACTTCTACGACACAGGTATTCAAAAGTTGGTCCCACGGTATGACAAATGTCTCAATTCCGGTGGAGAATGTGTTGAAAAATAGCTGGACACTTGTTGTATCTGTTGCAATAAATATTTCCATGAAATTGTGTTTTGTTTCTGTAAACGGCCCCAGGGAAACTTACTTTAAGGACGAGCCTCGTA